ATGACCATATATTGAAGAATATTTGCAGTTTAAGCTAGGGCTATCACATCTAGGCTACAGATTTAAAGCTTTATGTTTCTCCTTGCTGCCATTTGATCATTATTTTGGAGTCTTACTTAAGGTTCATCTACATCAGTGATTGGTTGCCCCTGGTTCGCACCGGTTCTATAGAACCGGTAGTAAATTCGGCAGAAGGCTCCACCCACAAACCTTGATGTCATCAAAATGAGTGAAGCGAGCGAGCGTGTGAGACCCTGTTGCGAACCAGTAGCAATCCTTGAAGATACGTTAGGTTTACAGACAAGGGCTGATTTGCACAACGTGCCAAATTATTATTTAATTATAGTTTATTGGATAAATCATTAATTGATTTCACACATTATACAATGTTATAAATCAGAGTTTATAAACCATGAGCCTGGGTTCGCACATACCTTTTCCTTACATAATTCTCATAATTCAGTTCTTCTGTTCAATTAATAATGAAATGAAAAGTATGATGAAACTGAGCAACAGGTATGATGGGTTTGTAATTCAAACAGATGCATCAGTGCTTAAGAAAACATTTTTCACATTTCCTTTTCATTACACTGCCCCCTCTTACACTACTAACTGACATGTCACAATTGGCCAGTATATGTTTTGTTCAATCATAAAAAAATTGGCATCTATACAACTAGTAAGTACTACCGGTATATTCACATCTGGCAGAAGAAAGATAATTACATCTTTTAAGAGGTCTCTAAAGTCAACTCTTCTTTCTAGTCTCAAAGTGATAGCTATATTCATAGCCATTGACTAACCTTAAGATGTGCATTTATTGAAGCTAGTTTAGCCTTCTTTCCTAAGTCTGAATGTATACACACACCAATGTTTCCTTAATGAAGCTTAACACAGTTGGCAAATATTTCACTCATAAATCTGTCATTTACCAACAAATTGGCCCAATAAACATTGACTCAGTAGAAAAACCCTGATAATGAAAGCTTTCTTCATGAGGAATAATGGACAGATTGTCTTTTTTAATCTGTTCCTTTTATCTACATGATTGCAAGTGTCAATAAATCTACTTGCACAAAGTCTGAATAATACCATAGGATACTCTATGCTTCCCTGGTTGGTTTAAACAGATTTCTTTGTGACTATGGGACTGTGTTTGATATATGCAAAATAATATCCAATCAGTGCATTTATTTGTTTTAATCAAAATTCAGATGCTTGGCAACTGGTCCATATTTATGATGGTTACGGTATCCTAATGTCCTGTAACCACCTTTTGTGACCTTCTGACAGGCAAAGTCAATGGGGAAGCCAGATTTACTTAACCACTGCATTGATTCACTTAACAACTATGGCAAGAAATGTCGTAAAATGGAGCAAAATTCATTTAGAGGTGAATTGTTTCACTTAGCCACAGAAAGTTTGGGCTCATTTGTAGTCGTAAGGCAAGGACTATCTGTAATAGGAACCAAAGTATTTCATGATTAAGTACTATATGTAGATGGGAGCAATATTCCAGAACATCAGTATGCAAAATCCTGGAAATGGGAACAGATACAGAACATATACAGACAACACAGATTTAGAATTATTGGAAAAATAATTCTCCGGTAATATTGTACTGCAAACTAGGGCATACAAAACCTTTGCTAGACCAATTATCGAATACAGCTCATCTGCCTGGAACCCGTACTGTATATTGGACATTAATACAATTGAGCGAATCCAGAGGTATTTCACAAGAAGAGTACTCCATTCCTCTGCTCGCAACAGAAACCCTTATGCCACCAGGCTTGAAATTTTGGGATTAGACAATTTAGAACTATGCCACCTTCAGTCTGAAGTGGTACACAAAATTATTTGCTACAATGTCCTACCTATCAATGACTACTTTAGCTTCAACCGCAATAATACACAAGCACACAATAGATACAAACTTAAGGTAAACAGCTCCAAACTCGATTGCAGAAAATAAGACTTCAGCAACAGAGTGGTAAATGCCTGGAATACACTATCTGACTCTGTGGTTACTTCCCCAAACCCCCATAACTTTAACCTTAGACTGTCTACTGTTGATCTCACCCCATTCCTACCGCCTCTGTCCTACTAACCCCAATTATTCGTATCCTTATCCTGTATTCATAATCATATTTATACTTATATCTGTTATCTTATATGTGTTTGACAAATAAAGAAATAAAAATAAAATAAAATTCTAACATTATTTTGAAATAATGAAACATCAGGAGTTTCTTGCTACAATTTTGGCAAAAGTTGTACTTTTTTATGGTAATGATTTTGGATGATAATATAAATTATGATATTTTATAGTCAAATGTCTAGTCAAGGGCAAAGGAATGGAAAAGGTCCTGGGGGGTGGAGAGTGAGGGTAGATATATAGAAAGAAAAAAAGGAAAATGTAAATATTATGCATTAGAATTTAGAGAAAAAACTTAAAGGCCACTAATAAAGGTTTATATAGTTATGGGTGGCTTTAATATTTTTCTATCTCTCTAACTGAAGACTGCTTGATAGTGGTTGTGTTGAATGATGATGGCAAAAGTTGTCCTAATGTTAAACAAAACATATTTGGACTAAAAGACCTCCAAAGTCCCTTCCAACTCTGTTATTCTGTTAATTATTTATTATTCTGAATCACCTAGAGTTGACTTGCAGTTGGGCAGCACCTACATGGAATTAAATAATTAAACAAACAAACGAATAAATAAATAACTCAATTAAGAGAGTTAAAACTTATGTTTCTGGGATGTCTTTCAGCTTAATTTGCAACCCTATCCTGTTCATCAATAAATTAACACCACTAAGTTGACTGGGGTCTGTTCAGTTACACATGCATGCATTTGAAGCTAAGTTGTAACGTGTGCATCTTTGAGGAATAATAGTTGAAATAGAATACCGTATGAGACCAGAATAGAAACACAAGAAGTGAACTGGAGGGTTAAAAAAATGAAGCACATGCTCAAGGTCTTCAAACTTAAAGGAAGATGACTAGGAATTTTAAATACGGAACGATCTGGAGATAATTTGAAAAAGATAAGGACATAGTAGTTGTAAATGCTAATGCCTATCCTAACTCCATTTCTAGCCCTGTTTATGAATTTGAGTTTTTACTGTTACTGAGTTTATACACAGAAACACTGTGAAGTCACTTTCGTTTTAAAAACTGTAATATGCATACGTGAGTCAAAACTACATCAGGAACCTCAAAAGAAGTTTGGATTATGTGTCGGTGTGAGTCGTGTGAAGGCTGTGCTAAGTCATATTCTTTTGATATTCTTTATGGAAATGACTTCTACGTGCGCTCTTGAACAAAACTGCAGAAAGAGACTTTCAGAATCTAGAAGCTACAGTGCTTCTTGGCCTCTTGATTAAATCAAGTCTACCAATATAACACCCAAATCAGAACATTGAACATGACAGTTTTGTGAAAGTTATTGAAGTTTCCTACCCTTGTTCTGAATATGCAAGTAAGATTTTTTTTATATTCAAAAAAGATTCTTATGTAAAGAATTATCCTCCATTTTATACACAAGCTTTATTTTCAGAAGTTTCCAGCACACTGTATCAGTAGCAGGCTGAAAAAGATCTTGACATAGCTTCATACCTATATGTGGAGCATCAACAGAAAATTGGTCGTTCTTTATACCTCACAGTTTCCTCCTCTGCAAAGTGAAAATTGCAATTTAAAAAAGGATTGAAGATAATTTATTTGTCCAAGGAACCAGAATGAAATTATAATTAATTGTTGTTGTTAGTCACGAAGTCGTGTCCGACCCATTGCAATCCCATGGACAACGTTCCTCCAGGCCTTCCTGTTCTCTACCATCCTCTGGAATCCATTTAAGCTCACGCCTACTGCTTCAGTGACTCCATCCAGCCACCTCATTCTCTGTCGTCCCCTTCTTCTTTTGCCCTCAATCGTTCCCAGCATTAGGCTCTCGCAAAACAAGTTTCAAGGAAACCAGTGGAAATATATTAAGGACATACAGGAAGTCCTTGACTTACAATTGGGACTAGAACTCCATTTGCTAGGTGATGTGTATTTTAAGTAAGTAATCATGTGACTGTGATGGATTTTAAAACCTTTTTTGCTATGATCGTTAAGGAAATCACATGGTTGCTAAGTGAATCTGGTTTTCCCCATTGACTTTGCATGTTGGAAGCTGATGGGGAAGGTCGCAAATAGTGATCGTGTATCCCTGGGACACTATAATAAATACATACTAGTTGCCCAGCACCCGAACTGCAATCATGTGACTGTGGGGATGCTGCAATAGGCAATAAGTGTGAGGACTGGTCATAAATCACTTTTTTTCAGCACTGTCATAACTTTAAACAGTCTCTAAATCAGGGGTCTCCAAACTTGGCAACTTTAAGACTTGTAGACTTCAACTCCCAGAATTCCTCAGCCAGCTTTGCTTTCCGGGAGTTGAAGTCCACAAGTCTTAAAGTTGCCAAGTTTGGAGACCCTTGCTCTAAATAAATGATTTTAAGTCAAGGACTATCCCTGTAACATATTGCTGATATGAAGACTTTTGAATAGTATAATTTTGAGCAAAAAAAACAAAAAAACAAAATCAGAGTTAAAGTCTGTAGGAGCAGAGCTGTCATGTGGGCCTTTTATAATTCAAAACTGCACAGGGAGTTATTGGAACACCCATGTTTGCCCATGTTACATCACTCATTTCCAAGCTGCTCTGATTCTCAGTAGGCTTCCAAACCCAATTCAAGGTGCTGATTATGACTTACAAAGCTCTTCATGGAATGGAACCAGGTTATTTGCAGGATCACCTCTCTCCAATTCTTTCTATCTGTCCCATTGGATCTAGCAGGGTTCCAGGTCCCACCTGTTAAACAGTACCATCAGATAGAACCCAGGAAGTTTGCCTTCTCTATTGCAGTGCCTCTCACCTGGAACGCTATTGTGGGGCCCTGACTGTTGAATCGGGTATTGGCGTGGAATAACGACTGAGGCAGACTAACTCAAACACAGCTGTTTATTGTTTAACAACAAGTAACCAGAATGCAACAAGAACAACTTGTGACAGAACCGCTATTTATACCATCAGCTGTCAGAGTTGTAGCCAATGGTTAACGCTTACGTCTCCCGCCAAAAGAGCTGTCAATTTGTGGCCAATCAGAGGCTCTTCCTGGTTGCTGGTGGCAACAGGCAGAGAACGCTACACTGACCCTGCTAGCAAGTCACAACTTTTTGAAGATCTGGCTCAGTGGTGGGTTGCCCCGGTTTGGACTGGTTCTATAGAGCTGGTAGTAAAACCGTTGGGAGGCTCCGCCCACCGACCCTGACATCATCAAGAAGCTTCTGTGCATGCGCAGAAGCTTCTGTGCATGCGTAGAAACACGCTCGTGTGGCTCCGTTGCAAACCGGTAGTAAAGGTAAGTAGAACCCACCTCTGATCTGTCTGTTCATTGAGCATAAAGTCTGGAGGTTAGGTGTGATTTTGTGCTGATTTGCTTGCCATCAGTGGAGTTGGTTTGCCTGTCATTTCATTAATAATTGTGGTTTGTAATGTTTTTGTTTTTATTTAGCCTTGGTGGCACAGTGGTTAGAATGCAATATTGCAGGCTAAGTTTGCCCATTGCCAGGAGTTTGAACCTCATGGGCTCAAGGTTGACTCAGCCTTCCATCCTTCTGAGATCAGTAATGTCAGGTCCCAGATTGTTGGGGGCAATATGATGATGTTGTAAACCACTCAGAGAGTGCTGTAAAAGCACTTGTGGAGCGGTATATAAGTAAGTGCTATTGCTATTTGGTATTAATCCTTTCTGCACTGCTTAGAATTGCAATTGTAAAATGGATAGCTATAAAGCGCATAAATTTATGGACATCTCTAAAATTCTGTTTGCACTTTGTCATAATGGGGTACTGAGTGTAGATTAATGAGAGAGAAAAATGAATTTCAACAACCGTAGAATTAGGCTGCAGCATAACAAAATTGACAAAAGTGAATACTTTCTGAATGCACTGTAAACCCAATAAATCAAAGAAAGTGCTCTAACAGTACAGGAGCACAAGCAAAGAGGCAGATGCCTATAATAAGACTAACCCAACAATAGCAATCACCATTAGGACCCCAGCAAGGACACAGATGCTGATGAAGACAAAGTCACTGGTATCTTGAGCCTTGCTCTCATAGACATCTGCTACTCCTACATCCTTTGGCTGGGACTCTACCAGATTCTCAGCATACTGGTTCAGCCTGTAGGGATTAGAGCCAGAGATCAGATTCACAAGGGCCTCTTTCCTTTTAGGCTCACATTGCACTTCGTATTGGTGAATATCCTCCTGGTTTCCATCGGAAAAGTCAATGTACAAAATGCTGACAATCACAGATGTGTTGTTCCTTTTCTAAACGAGGGAAGAAAAGAATGGGTTTTAAAAATAAAACAGTTTCTGGTACACAAAGCTTTGAATACAGATAAATAAAGTCCATTAGACGAAGCTGAAGATGGGCTACTACAAGTGACAAATTATGGCTTTCAACATTCAGTCCTGTAGTGCCAGGCGGGAAGCAAAACTGGATGCTTTTCGAGCCGTTGCTGGGCTGCTTGGCACAGCTTCCCAGCTGCATTTGGCTTGAAGATTCATATATTGTGCAAACCTAAAAGGAGACAGGTGGCAAGACGACTTAACAAACTTATAGGTAAGGTTTTGGATGGGAAATTGTGCAATAATTTTACAACTGCTCAGTGTGATAAATGGGTAGGCTGGCTAGAAATAATACTAAGCCTTGTGGGTGTGCAGATGAAGTTTTGGGTAAAAAAACAATGCCAATATTTTTGTGACCACATACTGAGATAAGGATCCACTTAGAATGTATTATAAAACGATTTAAATAGAACCATGGCGTGCAAATCATTTAACCTGCTTAGGTGTTTTTATTTTTATTTCTGGGATCACCACTGGCAGGGAAATCTTCTGTACCTGCCTTCATGATCTATAAAAGAATATGTTTTATAGGTACCTCCCTTGCGGGACAGCAATCTGGACAGCCCTGACTTTTTGGGCCTTTGGGAAGGCTGTTTTCCCCCCGATAGGTTTTAAGGGGCATATTGGTCGGGGAGCCCCATATAGGACTCCTTGATTGAAGATAATGCATGAGCTGTCTCAGCTTTTGTATTTGTGCATTTGTTATGTTTGCTTGTACTTGTTTTTATGATCTTTTTATTGTTTTCTAGTGTGTTCCACCCAGAGTTATTTGCTTAAGACTGCTGGCATGATAAAGTTCTTAAATAAATAAAGTAACATAGATGAACTGAAATTCATAATATAAACAACCATCCTTCCTTCCCTGGTGATAAATGTCCGGTTTATATGCACTAAAATTCTGGGGCCAAACTGATTACCGTGAAGTAGGACATCCATTATGACTTTTTTAAAAAAAACTTAAAAATAGCAGCAGGAGAGTGATGCCTTAATTGGATTGGCTAGCGATTGGTGTCCCTATCGAGACACTGTCTATCTGGAAGCAGTTCATTATCAATGGAGGATTTTCTCTCAATGCAAAGAAGCAGAATCATCAATAGGACCTCAGTAGGAAATGAGAGAGTTAAGTTCCATTTCCCTGCCTCTGGTGATCCCAGAAATAAAAATACCCAAGCAGACTAAATACAAAAGATGGAATGTTAAAACTAGTTTGGCCCTCTGTTTTTTATTATATTATCTGAGCACGTTTTACATAAAAAGTGAACATCTGGAATTATTTTGCTTAGTAAACAGCCTATAGCTTTCCATATGAACTAATGCTTTTCTTCACAATTTCTTTTTTAAAAAATCAATTCCTCAAACTATCAGCCAGAGAATGAGAATAATGGGCTTGTGTCCTTGAAAGAAAGTAAACCACAATCACCTTTCTTATATAGTTTTACATAATATATAGGATAGAGAGGAAAGAAAGAAAGAAAGAAAGAAAGAAAGAAAGAAAGAAAGAAAGAAAGAAAGAAAGAAAAAGAACAGAAGAGGAGGAGGAGAAGAAGCCTACAACCATAAATAAAATAAAATAATAATAAATTAGATATAGAGCAGGGGTCTGCAACCTTAAACACTCAAGGAACCATTTGGAACAGTTTCCCACAGAAATGAAAACACCAGAAGCCACAAAACCTGGGTGGGCATGGCCAACTCAACGTCACTCACTTCCACCAGTCACATGACCCTCACCTAGCCACACCAACCCAGCCGGTCATTAGGGCAGAGAACTGGTTGTTAAAAACTACCGGGAACCACAAAACCCTTTTGACATCTCTCTCTCCCTCCCTCTCTCTCTCCCTCTCTGTCTGTATCTCTCTATGTCTCTCTCTCTCCCCCTCTCTCTGTATCTCTCTGTCTCTGCCCTGGCCGCTTCTCCATCCCCCGCCATCGCCCTTACCTTCTCAGGCCATGCAAGGAGTGACTGGGAGGGGAGGGTGAGGGCGGGGCCAGCCAGTGGTGGGCACCCGATAGGGAGCCACAGCAGAGGGCCCAAAGAGCTGCACGCGGCTCCGGAGCTGCAGGTTGCTGACACCCGGTATAGAGGAAGAGCCAATATCTCAATGACTACTTGAGCAAATGGATGCTTCAATAGGCATTGAGCAAAATTATATGGTCTGAGTCAGTAGAGAGTTAAAGATATGAATAGAGGTCTACACCACTTATAGTTTCATGTCATAAATTACCATATCCTATATGTACATCCAATACATAAAAAGGCAAGTTAACATTTTTTTTTATCTTCCTCTCTAAAATATCAGAGACTGTTTTTTTTATGTGTATGTATGTGAGTGGATATATAACTATCAGGAATCTTTTGCATGCTCCTTTGAGTAAGTTCCTTGGCAATATATCAAAATATCTAGGACAGATGATTCAATATATTAAATAAACATCTATATTAGATGACCTATTCTTCAGTAATAATCATTTTCGACTTCAGCTTTAATTGTCCAATGATACAAATATAGCATTGTTAATTTCATGAACATGTTAGTCTTGCAGTTTCTAATTATTTGCGCTCAGCTAGCAAAGCAAAGGAGGACTTCAGAGGACTTCAGAGAAGAGGATTTTCCTCACCAATCCTCTGAAACACATTCAGCAGCAGATGCTATTGTGATCAAGATGTTACAGGAGCAATAGACCTTTCTATGGTTTTCATAATAACACAACTGCTGCTATATGTGGGAGGTGGGTAGACAGCTCCTTTCATCTTGGCTCAGCATTAGTAGCTAAAACTCTGCCCTTTCCACACAGATAATGTACTTGCGGTTCCATGCCACAGGTTTCAAATCTTGCATGTATCCGAAAGGTCAAGCCAACCACTTGCGCAGGGCAGGAGGGGATTCCTAAGTAGATTTTATTTCGCTCCAGCTGGGCCAAAGACTGTGTGGGGATTTGGATATGAAACTCTGTTCTTGTGCAGCTGACGTTCATAGGGACAACTACATTGAGGAGAAACAAAACAAAGAAGGAATCTCTGAAATTACAAAATCATAACAAACAACCAGTGACAATCTCTGGAGTTAATGCGCCTGGCACAACACTATCTATAAAGTCAATAACAACATCCTCTCTTCTAATCTAAAGTCTTACACATGCAACAAATCACTATTTGATCCAGTTTTAGAGATAATAAACCATATTTGTCTACTATATGGTAGATATAACCTATCTTGTAGTTCTTGCTACAACTCCCCATGTAGTGTCCCATAGATTACAATATTTTGGGAATCTGTATGAAATATATCAACCCAGAGAGTTTTCTGCTAGACATTAGATGGATGTGACCGGGTTGTGAAATTGATTAGGAAACAGGGTAAGAGTTGGGATCTCATGATCTCTAGTTTTCCCAAGTAATTGGTGGGCAGCAAAAGGTTGCTGTTGTTTTTAAAAATCTGACCAAGTATACATGACTCTGTATATGTCTTTTCAGTCAGAATACTGAACTTAGAAAGCACCATCAATGCATTACCTGACTCTATGGTTTCTTCCCCAAACCCCCAAAACTTTAATCTTGGACTGCCTACTGTCGACCTCACCCCATTCCTAAGAGGTCTTTAAGGGGCATGCATAAGCGCATCAGCGTGCTTACCATCCCTGTCCTAATGTTCCCTTTTATTCATATCCATTTCATGTATTCATAATCATGTTTATGCTTAAATCTGTTATCTAATACATGCTTGACAAAATAAATAAATAAAATAATAAATAAAATAAAATAAATTCTTCATCAAATCTGGGCCCAAAGGAATTGGGTGGCAATATATCCCAATTTCTCCAGAGGAAGAACATCAAAAATTTGTCCAAGATAGACTTCCCCCTTAGCAGTGACAGTTTTGAAAATCCCTACATGATAGGAATTTTCCCCTCATGTCTTCCCTTGGATTTAACTGATATGTGACAACTAGCAAGGTTGTTGAACATTCCTAGAAGGAGGAAGGACATAAATACACATCCCTTCTTGGACAAATCATAAGTAAAAGAGCACAAAAATGCAATGTTTCTCCAAAATTCCTTGCATCTTTGAAGGGATATCTAAAAACAAATATCTCTACTAAACTGAATGAGAGCTGGTACAAAGAAATGCATACTGTATAGTATTTCCCAAGCATTACATTTAACATGTAACCTTCATAGTCCTTTCAATTGCTCAGGTAGTTTTAATATCTTCTGCTCATGGTCCAAATTCAATACATACAGTATTGGGCTGTTTTGTGCATCCTGTGCTTCAGTTATATTTTTAGAAAGCTGACATCATCACGAAGTCTCCCACACTATAGATCTTGCTATACTGGAAAAGCCAGTGTTCATTACTTCAAGATTTAAAGTAAGAACGTTATCTGTTTCTGTTCTGATATACTACCAGCCAATGTAGATTACCTCACATATATGCCAAGCCCTAAAGGAAAGAGAGCCCTTTAAAAAAAAAACTAGATTGAAAAAGAAGTTATATGAAAGAACAGAAATATTATATTGGTGTTTAATTACCCTAAGTATCTAACAATTATATCAACACCTATTACATAAAGTATTTTTTTCAAACAGTGGTATACATTAGTCGTCTTCCAATACTTGAGGGGTTGCCACAGAGAGGAGGGGATCAAGCTGTTTTCCAAAGCTCCTGAACGCCAGACAAGGAATAATGGATGGAAACTGAACAAGGAGAGATTCAACCTAGAAATGAGGAGGAACTTTCTGAGAATTAGAACAATCAGCCAATGGAACAGCTTGCCTTCGGAAGTTGTGGGACCTTCATCACTTGAGACTTCCAAGAAAAGATTGGGCTGCCATTTGTCAGAAATGATGTACGGTCTCCTGCTTGAGGAGTGGGGTTGGACTAGATGTCCTATAAGGTCCCTTCGAACTCTGTTAATCTGTTAAATTATGAAAAATTGGTACTGGGTGGAACTAAAGTAGGACAAAACAAAACAAAAGATGGATGCTTTATCCAATTAATCCTTGTTTAGTGACTGCCATTACAATAGTGATGAAAAAGTAATTTTACAACCATAACCTTTGCAGGTCTATAAAGCAAAGAAAAATTGAAGTAAGATTATAAGCGTTGTCCTAGTTTCATTTAGTGACTGTTTTACCTCATACTGAAGTTGCCAATCTAAGTTGTGGTCACTGAACAAGGGCCACCAGTAGTAAAATCATTATTGTTATTATTAGTAATTTCTATATTAATTCAGACTCCTATCTCTTGCCTGTATATACAGGTAATCCTCGATTTACGACCACAATTGAGCACAAAATTTCTATTGTTAAGTGAGATTTTTGTTAAGCGAGCTTTGCCTCATTTTACAACCTTTCTTGCAGTTGTTAAGTGAACCACTACAGTTGATAAATTAGTAAACTGGTTGTTAGGTGAATCTGGTTTTTCCATGGACTTTGCTTGTCAAAAAATCACAAAAGCTGATCCCATGACACAACAACAATGGCCATAAATATGAACCAGTCGCCAAGCATCTGAATTTTAATCCCATGATCATGGGGATGCTGCAAAGGTCATTACTGTGAAAAATGGTCATAAACCACTTTTTTCATTGCTGTTATACCTTTGAACGGTCATTAAATGAACTGTTATAAGTCGAGGACTGTATATATATTAGAATAATTAATCAGTGGAACAACTTTCCCTCAGACATTGTGAATGCTCCAACACTGGAAGTTTTTAAGAAGAGATTGGACAACCATTGGCCTGAAACAGTATAGGCTTCCTGCTATCTACATCATAGATAAGGGAATAGTTTTGTATAGAGATGAACAATTGTATAGTGGAGTTTTATATAACTAGCAGCAATAATATAAGCAGATCATCCATTTAAAATCTAAATTTTCAGGACCAAGAAGGTGGTCAGACATAGAACTATGTCTAGAATTTATCTAAAATATATTGTGGTAGAGATTTTTCCAGTTGTGGTCTCTGCTTTTGCTGCAGTGTTGAAAACTGGTAACCACAAAAAGGCCAATGAAGAATCCCGAAAGAGTAATCAGGTTGAATTTCACATGATGAGCTGAACTAAACAACTAAATTTTTGGCTCACCAATGTTTCTAGAGATTAACACCACTGTACATACTGGGCAGTAGCTCCATTTATATTGAAGCGGTGCTTGGAAAAAAAATATTTCCCTTTGTGATTGTGAGTTCATTCTTCACTGCATAGTGAGAAATCTTGGAATAATTTCATATCCCTAACACCAGTTTAATTTCCTCAGTGTTGGGGGAAAAAGGGTGCATTTCTAACCTATTCATTTTGGGGGATAGAGGGCCCAGGGCAAAGGAACAGTTAATGCTGAGCTGTTGCCTTCTGCTAACACATAACAGATGGGTCTCAGACCGATCCCTTTATGAGTACAGAGGAAAGAAATTAGTACATATTCCAGGACTTCATATTTTAGCTAGAAGAAAAAATTAGAAAAATGCATCTATAGTTTGAGATGATGCCACTGATGTGTGTTTGTGGAATAATGATTAAACATAATTCTTATATATAAATAAGGTAAAAATCCTGTTTTACATACTGGACATTTTTTAACATCCTCAAAATACTAAGACTGATATATGTGTGGATGTAAAATTAGGACAGAAAAATAATTGGCAAAGAAAGTAGACGGTCCTGAATATCTCAACCGAATTTTAAATTGGCTAGAAAAATAAGGCAACCCAAATAATGAAGTTGTCTTCATTTATGCTGAATATCTCTGGAACTGCTCTCAGGCCATAAAGCTGGACATTCTGCTGGGGTAGAAAAAAATTATACCCAATATTAACACAATAAAATATAATAAAATTCTACAGTAAAAATAAAAGCATATATGATCAGCAAAATCAAAAACCCTCATAAAGATGCAGTTCCTGGAACAGTCAAGAAGTTGCTGAGGCAACAGGAGACCTATTCATGGCCATGTAGAGTTTGGGTGAAGGTGGGGATTTTTCCAATTAAAAAATTCAAATCTAGAACAATTAAAATGATACTTTTAGCAGGTTCTAATTCAAACTGGAACCTTCTGGTACATTTAAGAGCTTGCTTATACATAACAATAGGAAAAAAAATAAAGTTGGCTGATACCTATATCTATACAATGTATAAATTAGTTACTGTGGAGGTCATTATTCAGGGAAAGCTGATTTCCATATAGCAGCATTGTAGAAACTTTATGAGCTAATTCAAACTATTTTGCTTTTCTCTTGATCCTCACATTTTTATTTTATTCCACATGGTTTATCCAATAATAGATCTTACCTCCATAATATGCTACCAAGAAACCTCGGTTGGCTGTATTCCTATCAGTGTGAAGGACCAACAGCAAGTTGTTTCTACTAGATATAATTGGAGATAGCATTTCTCTCCCACACCACTTTCCTAGCAGAGATGCCTTCTCAGTACCTCCATCAAACACAGCCAAATGGTCATAATCACAACCATCTGTCAGGCTGTTCCGTCCCTCGAGATCCAGGTCCAGGAAAAAAACTTTGATTCGATAACCTAGCGGCAGCTGGATGGTCCATCGACACTTGATATTATTGGGGTAAGAGTGTGGATATTGAGGACTGGAGAAATTTCCTTTGACAGCGGTATACACTTCCTGACATGCACCTGCATTGCAAGGGAAAAACAAATGAAATACAATGGCAAGCAACAAAAACATTTGTTTTATTGTGTAGGATCACCTAGAAATTTATTCTTCAAATTTTGTCCTTTACTTCAATGCATTTTTAAATAGCTTTCACTCTGCTCAGACTTGGTTTGAAGCTATGATACAAGGGATACAAATAATAGACCATTAAATTTGTGGCCTAACCTAAAAGTAGCTAGAACTAGAAAAGGGGGCCACTATGAGTAGCTGATAGTACCCTGTTTCCCCTAAAATAAGACACCCCCTGATAATAAGCCCAATTGAGTTTTTGAGGGCATGCACTAAAATAGCCCCCACTGAAAATAAGCCCTCCCCGAAAATATTTAAATGCATGCGCAGACAGTCCCTGCCATTTCCTCTGGTTTCCTCCATGTGCCCCAAAATAATAAAACATCCCCGAAAATAAGGACAAGCGCTTATTTCAGGATTCAAAAAATATATATAAGACAGGGTCTTATTTTCGGGGAAACACGGTAGGAAGCAGCTATCTAAGCCTATCATTGTCAGAAGCCAATGCCATGAGAATTTTATGCTGCAGTTTGGTCTAACATTGTCAGCCATTCAAGACAGACCAGATTAGGAAACCAAAGTCATGTATGCTAATACTACTTTTATTATAAGGTTACAGTCACAGAATCTTGCAAATGTGAATGCATTTCCTCCCCCCATCTTATCTTCGTGTTAAGTAGGGAGGTTCTTGTCTGAGACAAGTTACTCAGGTTACAGTTTTGGCCCAGATTCAGATTTCTTTTATCTAACTATCCCAAGATGCTTTTCTAAAAGGTAAGGGGACTTTCTTGGTTTTTTTCTTTGAAAACGTTTCATTTCTCATCCAAGAAGCTTCTTCATTTCTTCAAGGATGAAATATTCTTTGATTTCATGCTTCCTCACCACCACCACCAAAGTGGCGCAGTGGTTAGAGTGCAGTACTGCAGGCTACTTCAGCTGACTGCTAGCTGCAATTCAGCAGATCGAATCTCACCGGCTCAAGGATGACTCAGCCTTCCATCCTTCTGAGGTGAGTAAAATGAGGACCCAGATTGTTGGGGGCAATATGCTGACTCTGTAAACCGTTTAGAAAGGGCTGTAAAAGCACTATATAAGTCTAAGTGCTATTGCTATCACTATCCAAATGCTTTTCTTCAGCCTGTCTCATACTTTTTATGCTCCTGGGATTTTTTACTCATATTTTGTGGTCAAGATATCTTCTGATTATGTACCACATATCCTAAACTGGTCTAAAGCTTAGGTTCTCCAGAATATAGTACCCTGTTTCCCACAAAATAAGATATCCCCTGATAATAAGCTCAATCGGGCTTTTAAGCGCATGGCAATAAGGCCAAGTGCTTATTTCAGGGTTCAAAAAAATATAGGACAGGGTCTTATTTTCGGGGAAACACGATAAATAACGTGGCAGAACACTCAGAAAAAATATTCAGCATACTAAAATAATGATAACTTTATCAGATGTAAATGAATAGTAGAGTTAAGGTCATATTGCCTTACCTAGTATTGGGGGAGTCCTTCTATTAAGAATGCACAGAAGGTTTAAGACTCATTAAGAAGGCTGGAAAACTTTGAGTTTCATACACAAACACACACACACACACACACATTTTTCCAAAGATCTAAAAAAATTATTTGATGTTATTTTCCAAGAAGGTTCCAAAAATCATTTCATCATTTCGTATTATAATATTGATTTGTGATAAATATTAATTTTTGCACCATACCTGAAAAGAAATACGCCTTGAAGCCTTTGTTAGCAATGTTAAAATCTGATTTGAATACAACCAAAAGTTCACGTGCAGAAGATACCGCCTCTGGAGGTTTCGTGTTTCCACAGTAGTAACTGAGAAGAGTATCCTCCATTGTGGGCCCATCAAAGATGGCCACATAGTCAAAATTACACTGCTCGCTGTGTTCCATCTGGAAGTCAACAAAAATCAGTTTGATGACAGAATTGGACGTTCCCTGGATGACCCAGTGGCACTCAGCATTATTGGGATAATTCTCTGGGTAATCGGGGCTTGTGATTGATCCAGACAATCCTGTGAGCACACCCCCACAAACATCTGGAAGCAAGAAAATACAATATGTATTAAAATAAGACACAGAGATAGAAATAAGGAAAGTTCCTATGTGGATTCCAACCGCATTCTTCTGCATCACAGAAAATAATCTTAACCAGGCAAGGAAACACTGGAGGAGTAGAGGAAATAAGGAGTGCTATGGATGGGAGGTAATAAACAGGAATTTGTATGTATAAAAATATAAGTATTTGAGGCTGAATATGATAAATAAAATTAGTGAGAGGCAGGAATCAGAAGCCAGAGAATTGTCCAGATTATGACTGAATGAAAGAGAATATATGTAGCTCAGGGTGGAATTTACTCTTACTAGTAACCCCAAATGCAGCCTAAAATAATTTCCTATTTTCAAATTGTTTACTCTGGAGTAGTCACATTGAAATCCATAAGCTTTCCTTCCGCATCACTAATGGTTTGGAGATTCCAGCCAGGAGTTTCAATTGTTGGGTCATTTCTGCTTTCAGTTACAACAAGATAATAAGGAAGAAGCAATTAAACTACAATGGGAGGAAAAGCAGGATAAAGCCTGAAACCTTTTCCTGCTGCTGTTTTTTTCCCTGAGTGGGAAAAAAAATCCAGTGTGATTTCTGGATCTTTTGGATCAATGTTCATGAAACACCTTTGAGAAAAATGAAGAATATATTTGTGTGTTTGTGCGCACACACCTGCGCTCTGAGTGCACTACTTAAAAAAAAATCATTAAAACTTTGCATTTTGCATTATACTATCTGATGATCCCACGATGCCATTTTTAAAGCTTTAATATAGAATGGTAACTGCTTTTGAGGGAAGTCTGAGCAAGGTTTTTGAAGCAGTTTGAACTCCAAAAATGACTGGCAAGTTCCAGAAACAGTTCCTGTTCAGCTATAAAACCGATGAAGTGATTTTTGCCATTTTGCCAGTTTCATGCTAGGGTGAGGATTTCAGAGAAGGCTTGCTGCCTGAGCAGTTCAAAATAGCTAATACACATCATGAAACTTTAATGAAATGTCATGTTACATTTATTTATTAAATTATACCCTGCCCTTTATTCAAGAGCTCATCATTCTCTTTATGCCCCAACTGTTCTATAGAGTAGGCTGAGCTGAGAGAGACTGGTTCAAAGACGCCCAGGGAGCTTCTGTGACTGAGGGTGGATTTGAACTTGGTCCTCTTGAGTCCAACATTTAACTTGTGAACAACACTGGCAGAGAATGAACACTACTTAAATGGATATTCTGAAATATATGGCATATATAGCATTAATATTCTTACATTCAGTCTCTTTAAGAGAGTTATTTCTAGAATTCAGAGGAAAAGTAAAAATAGTTTAATTTATTTGTATCCCACCTTTATTATTTATAATAACTCAAGGAGGTAAACATATCCAACACACCTCTCTCCTCTTATTTTCCCCACAACCACAACCCTGTGAGGTAGGTTAGGCTGGAAGAGAGTAACTGGCCCAGCTGGTTTTCATGGCTAAGACAGGACTTGAACTCACAGTCGTCCCACTTTCTAGCCTGGTACCTTAACCACTAGATAAATTGGCTTGGAATAACTTAGACTACCAAAGTTATTTCTAAGCTCCATAAAGATGACTGGAATAAACTGTTTAATTACATGTTGTTGATTTCAAGAAAAATATAAATATCTAAGTCTGAAAAAGATGGCAGGTTGCTTTCTAGATGCTTTTGATAGTTTTGAAGGATTTCCCAAAGGCCAGAGGAAAAGAACAAAACTGCATTCATTATTAAACTGAAAAAGAACTCTATTTAAAGCTAATTAAGGAATAATTTCTTGAAATATAGAATAATAGCATATTGCATCTGGAATCATGGGAAGTTGCACCTATTCTACAAGAGAAACTGAAAGCACCAACCAGTCAAAAGAATTATACACATTAAGGCATAGCGTGCTTTAACAACCACTGAATTAGTGGTCAGGTTTGGACAATATTTTAAGCATAACCTATTTTGCAGAGCATAATGGCCAAGTTCTCACATCACATAAAGTCAGAATCAAACTAACTACATTATGTCTTAGAGATGTGTGTGTCAAATCAGGGGTGAAATTCAGCAGGTTCTGACAGGTTCTGGAGAACAGGTAGTTGAAATTTTGAGTAGTTCGGAGAATTGGGAAATACCACCTCTGACTGGCCCCAGAGTGGGGTGGGAATGGAGATTTTGCAATATCTTTCCCCTGCCACGCCCACTAAGCCACAGAACCTGTAGTAAAAAAAATGAATTTCACCACTGTGTCAAATGCTGGGTTTATACATCCCTCTAAGCATTAATGTGGTTCACTTGGTTTAGACTTATTAAGATCCACAAACAGTTAGAAAATCAGTTTGCTTATACACTGTCTATCCTGCTTCATCATTGCAAAAATTCCAGTGTGGGGCCTTTACATATTGCCTGAAATTGCTTCACCTCATCCTTTGTAGAAACTTACTGCTTCTCAAGCACCCTATACCAGCAAAATGATACAGGTTCTACAATACTACTGTATGATGTAGTACTCTTAAGAAAAATCCAGTTGAAAACAATTCTGACCTTTTTGGTAAACTGCTGAGAATCCTTGACTGGCCACATGGTTATCTGAGTGAAATATTAGAGTCATGATATTCCAGGATGAGGTAAATGGTGGAGGAAAACTTGTGCCACAAAATTTACCAAGCAGATTTCCTTGGTCTTCAGAAACCCCATTAAAGATCTTGATGTAATCAAATTCGCAATTATCATGATATTCCAGGTCAAAATGTTGAAAAGTGAGCAGTACAGAGGATCCTTCTGTTACCACTATGAGCCACGTACAATCTGTATCATACGGATAAAGTCCTGGGAAATTTGGGCTTGAAATATTGCCGTATGGTGCTGACAGAAGTCCACCACATTTAATGCCTACAGAAAATATCAACATTCGAAGAATAATAGATTAGCAACTAGAACAGCCCACATTCTGGATGTTGCTCCCTCTTGTTCTAAAAACTTGTTAAAATGCCTGCACTAACTGATATTCCCAGATAGTTTTTTCCCTCCCAAACTAACCAGGCCTGACCCTGATTATTACACTTCAAGATAAAACATGAGCTGGTGAATTTCTAATTACCTAGTTCCCTTTTAGAGAATGCAAATCAGGGATAGATCAATTTTTGAGGATTGAGGCTATCCTTTTTTTTTCTTTTAAAAAGAAAGGTATGATGTTTCCAAAGTAAGTGAGCTAAAATGGGCTGATTTTGATGTTTTTAAAGGAATTCTGTGCAGACCCGCACAGAATGAACCTCAAGTCTGCAAGTTAGTCATGTCACTCATTACAAAAAAGAATATTTCTGTATGACCTCATTTTATTGGAAGAATCTGGAGCTATAAAATGGACACTTTACGAACACATGCAGATTGTGCATAATAGGCTATATTGCTTACTTAAGATGCTATACCTACCATTGACTCTGGACATTTTCCCAATAGTGAATTAAAAGTAAAATATTTTTTCAATGCTTATCTAAAACTCATTTGACAATTTTTTAAAGATTCTGATATCCCATCTTTTTTATTTTATAAATAATTCAAAATAGCAAACATATCTAATACTCCTTCCTCCTCCAATTTCCCCCACAATCACTACACTGTGAGGTGAATTGAGTTGAAAGAGTCTGACTCAAGTTATTTTTATTCACTGAAGTCAATTTACACATGCTAAATCGGTCTTGGGAATAGTTTTGATATATACAAACAAATGACTAAAGATACTAAACATGCCATAGTGTAATGTTCTGTGCTAATCCTTCAAGAATTTGGGAGACTTGGTTGACTGAAAAGAATATTTAAATAAAACTGGGTAACATGTACAGCAAATATTTTAGAGTAGGTAGGTTTATTCTTGATTGTTTCATTTAATTGTTTTAATTAAAGATCATTTGTATTCTGTTTATACCTTACAATGGGTTTTTTTAAGAAAGAAAAGCAGTGCACATATACACATTGCAAACAAGTTCCGTATGTATATAAAATTGAATTACCGAGCACATATAACAGAATTAACAACTAGAGGTTAGCTTTGTTTGGTAGTCGACATACTTAAAAGACTCCTAATTCGTAATGTATCATTACAAAATAATTTAGTTATAACAGTCAAAATGATAATTACATTTCCAAGCTTAACCATTAGTCCAATAATAGACAATATCCTCAATACGCGTTTACATCCCTAACATTTCTGGAAATTACCCATTTGGATTGTAAGTTTTGTTTTGCAGCATACACAAAAGGGCCATATTCATGTTTAATTAGAAATGAGTCTCACCAAGTTCAGTAGGATTTCACCCTGGAAGATTTGCTATGATCACAGCCATAAAAATACTTAAATGCAGGTCAAGTGTTTCCTTCTAGTGCCATTAAATAATTGTATCTTGTTTGATTCTAAACTTTTGGCAGCAATTACATGAAATCTAAAAAATTAAATTAGCTATTAGACTCCAATATACCACATAGTTCAGTTCCCATTAAAATTTTATTCAACAAATACAGAACAAATATAGAACTTGTGTGCGTGGGGGGGGAAGGGGAGTTATTCTAAAGTGTAGAACAAGAGGGCTCTGTTCATCAAATCTCTCCCTGGACCTGGGCTTCATGTCACAGTGGACTATCTTCATATCAACTTGGACCAGCCTGAATTCTTTATAGAGCTCTAGATTGGCCTTTCTGTACTGGAGTACATAACACCAGACATGTCATTAGAAGGCAAAATCATTTTATTTTTATTTTATTTATTTATATTTAAATTTATATACCGCCCTTCTCCTGAAGGACTCAGGGCGGTGAACAGCCAAAAGTAAAAAACATAGAATACAAAATTTAAAAACAATTTAAAAATATATTAAACAATTTGGCCCAACAATTAAAATACCCCATTTAAAATTAAAATTAAAATTAAACAATTGGAGAGTTAGGCCAACCCGGCTTGTTGAAATAAAAAAGTTTTGAGGGCCCGGCGGAAAGTACGTAAATCCGGAATCGTCCATATCTCCAGGGGGAATTCGTTCCAGAGGGCAGGTGCTCCCACAGAGAAAGCTCTCCCCCTGGGGACCACCAGTCGACATTGTTTGGCCGACGGCACCCTGAGGAGCCCCTCTCTGTGGGAGCGTACTGGCCGGTGGGAAGCTTTCGGTGGCAGAAGGCGGTCTCATAAATCATGAAACTCGTCTCACTTATTTTGGCCATGTCATGTGGAGGAAGTCACTGGAGAAAGCAATCCAAGTTTGGACTTGGTAATCAAGCTGCTGGTCACCATCAAAGCTGACATTAGCAAGAGCATAGAAAAACTCAAAGAAGTAGTGAAAGATTGCAAGATATGGAGACATCTGGCCCAAAAAATGGATATCATCATCATCATCATCATCAGATTGGGTTTACGGACAAGGTGGTCCTTGGATATCCCCCACCCCATCCATCCATCTATCTATCTATCTATCTATCTATCTATCTATCTATCTATCTCCTATATATTGTGCAACAAGGACAGATTATAAAAAATATTTAAGCTTTTCAGAAATATCATTTACTTCCCTTTCAATTTACAGTTTATTCAGTAGACCAGCTGCCTGTTAGTTTTCTGTTTAGAGTAATATGATTGGTCTTTAATATTTGTGTCTCGAATTCTTCTTCATTGCTTACATTATGATCCACTTGCATTTCATTTTGCCAACATTGGCATTTGTTTTGACATGAACAAAATTACTTTCTCCAGGCTTGTTTCCATAACCAACAGACATTATTTGTTTTTCTTCACCAGAACATGCCTTTACCGTGTCTATAAGAGAGTAATTAAACTCATCTATTATTATAACACTTTGATTACCTTAGTGGTTTCCTTATTATCCTTTTTCCTTCTATGTAAATTGGAAGATTCCACATTAGAAAAAAAAACCCTTATTTAAATATCAGTTTCATAGATATGTTTCTCCAGGACATCATGTTCTCTGACTTTATGCAATTATTCATTCTCTATGAAAACATACTTTTAAAATTGCCTTTTTCTCCTTCCTTCCTTCCTTCCTTCCTTCCTTCCTTCCTTCCTTCCTTCCTTCCCTTCCCTTCCCTTCCCTTCCTCCCTCCCTCCCTCCCTTCCTTCCTCCCTCCCTTCTCATTTATGCATTGAACATAAGTATAATTCTCTTCTCTGATTACGTTGTGAAAGTTTAACTGTTTTGACAGTTGTATTTTACAAATCTGACTCTTTCAAACAGAGTCTAATTGGGAAGACTATTTAATTGTCAGTAACATTGTGTTAAACTCTCAGTAAAAGATACTGGAAGGTAGCAAGGTGGAAAAAACACCTGTTTCTTCAGAACTGATTTTTTTTTTAAATCAAAGAAAGAGATTGGTACTTCTACAGAGTGGCATGAATTCATAATCCAGACAGGGATTTCCCCCCGCCCAGTATTTCTTTGCATATTGTAAATATTTAACCATTGTCCTTAACTTTACTCAAATAGACTTGCCTACAGATAGTACATCCTGAGAAATCAATGATATATTAATAAAACAGAAACCACATGTCTATTGTAAACTAAGACTATTGTAAACATAGTTCTAAGTATATTAACTATCTGTGAAATAGTAGGAAGTAATGAAGTAATCCTCTACTTGCCCCCATTCATTTAATGATTATTCAAAGTTACAATGGCATTGAAAAAGTGACTCATGATCATTTTTTTTACACTCATGACCATTGCAGCATCCCCATGGTCACATGATCAAAATTCAGATGCCCGGCAGCTGGCATGTATTTATGATAGTTGCAGTGTTTCAAGATCATGTGATGCCACTTGCAACCTTCTTACAAGCAAAGCCAATGGGGAAGGCAGATTCACTTAGCAGCCGTGTTACTAACAACAACTGCAGTGATTCACTTAACAACTGTGGCAAGGAAGATCATAAAATGGGGCAAAACTCCCTTGACAATTGTCTTGCTTAGCAGTGGAAATTTTGGGGTCAGTTCAGGGATGAAATCTAAAATTTTTTGCTACCAGTTCTGTGGGCGTGGCTTAATTAGTGGGTGGGGCTTGGTGGTAAGGTGACTGGGAGGGTGTGGTTTGTTGGTCAGGTGGGCGTGGCCAAGTCAATGTCACTTCTTTGCCCTTTTTTAACCTACAAAACATAACACAACACAACTGGCTCACCCACAATATAAAAGCAGCTGTGCTAGACCCAAAATGGCCCCTGCAACAAGCAGGAACTTCACACAGCCACAAAAAGCCCAAAAAACCAACTTTCACACTTTACACACACAAAATTCCACATACAGCTTTGTGAGATTTTGTGTGATTGTGTAGTTAGAGTGAAACACTACAGAAACACACTAAATCTCAGAAAGCTGCACAAATATTGTTTTATTTTTATTTTTATATAAAAGCAGCTAAATTTAAAACTTCTTAAACTTTAAATGGCTAGGTCTAAAAAAAGAACAACTAAAAAAACCCCCAATTAACTATTTTTTTAAAGCTCCCAAAGGGGAAAAAAGACTTACCCAATTGAACAGGGGTCTCCAACCTTGGCAACTTTAAGACTTGTAAACTTCAACTCCCAGAATTCTTCAGCCAGCTTTGCTTTACTGGCTGAGGAATTCTGGGAGTTGAAGTCCACAACTCCCTGCCTGCTTGATTGCAGGCAGGGAGATTCAGTTGCTTGCTGATGCCATCGATTGCAGGGATTACAGCAAGGCGTTGCGACCAGCAGCCAAAGTAAGCAAGCTGAGGGAGGGAAGGGGAGGGATTTTTGCTACCGATTATCAGGCAGAGCCATTTAAAAGGAAAAAAGTTTTTTCTTTTATATGGCTCTGGCGATCCAAGCTGAGTTGCCTGATTAGCAGGCAACTCAGCTGGGATCGTCAGAGCTTGGCTGGTCAGAGCCATTTAAAAG